GAGGAGACGACCAATCAGAGGACTCGTGGGGTGGGCACAGTGGCTCGCTGACCTCACATAGAGGCGGAAGTACTGATTCAGCCGCCTCTGGTTGGTCGGATGAGTCAGGTGACCAAAGGCTACAGCCAATAGAGTTGGAGACCGAGGAAATTCCGGGGACTTTCCTGCATCACGCTCCGGGGTCCCTCGCAGTGCTTCAGAAGTGGAAGTGCAACCGGAAGTCCTTGTATTGAGTCTTGGTGGTTGAATTTACCTTCACGCCCCGCCTACTCTTCGGGAGGAAAATTCCCACGCATCTGTTTTATTTTAGGCATAAAAATAAGGGGTGGAGGGACTGGAAAGATAGCTTAGCTGACCCAAATTCTAGTCCCAGCACCCACCCACAGGGCGGCGCTCAACCGTCTGTAGCACAAGGTCCAAGGGATCCGACTCTCTTTGCGGTGGTACCAAGGTACCAGGCACACAAGCGACGACAGACACGCCGCGAAACACGCACATAGATGATAGATAGGTAGGTAGGTAGATAGATAGGTAGATAGATAGATAGATAGATAGATAGATAGATAGATAGATAGATAGATAGATAGATAGATAGATAGATAGATAGATAGTGTTTCATGCCTTTAATCCAAGAACTCAAGGAGGCAGGCAGGCAAATTTCTGTGAGCGGTAGGGCAACCAAGGCTACAAAGTGTGACCCTGTCTCAATCAATCAATGTAATAAAATATAAACAGGAGCTCAAGTCTGGCAGTTTATAACCTCCTTTAACTCCGTCTCCCCTTTCTCCCCACTACCTACATTCTACTGACAGAAACACAACATACACATAGCTATAAAAATAAGTCCTACCGGGCTTTGGTGGCTCACGCCTTTAATCTCAGCACTCGGGAGGCTGAGGCAGTCGGATCTCTGTGAGTTGGGGACCAGTCTGGTCTACAGAGCCAGAGCAAGTTCCAGGACAGCCTCCAACACAATACAGAGAAACCCTGTCTCGAAAGACAAAACAAAAGCAAAAAAGTAAAATAAAAAGGTGACAGTCAGAGGATTGCAAGTGTAAGGCCAGCATGGACTACATAGTAAGAGCCTGTCTTAAACAGGATAAAAAGAGACATGGAGAAAATGAAAAGCCTGCCAGGCCTTGGTTGTGCATGACTTTAATCCCAGCATTCAAGAGGCAGAGGCAGGCGGGTCTCTGTGAGTTTGAGGCCAGCGTGGTCTACAGAGCCAATGCCAGCTACACAGAGAAACCCTGTCTCGAAATGCAAAAAAGAAGAAAAAAAGAAAAGGCCCATATCTGATTGCTGTAACTGTGTCATACTGTAGGGAGGTACTTTTCTGCTTTTCTCTCTTCTCATGGGGCTTAGCCAGAGAGCCTTGAGTCCGTGCTAAGCACTGTTCTGCCTCTGAGCTGCACCCCTATTACTTCGGCGCCCTATTATATATGAAACCTGGGTCCCAGAAGTTTCTTGTCCAAAGTGAGTGTTGTTGACATACTTAACAGGGCAAAGTGCTATGCTCCATCTTTCTTTTTAAGATTTATTTATTTACTATGTACGTAGTGTTCTGCCTGCATGCATCCCTGCATGACAGAAGAGGGCACCAGATCTCATTACAGATGGTTGTGAGCCACCATGTGGTTGCTGGGAATTGAACTCAGGACCTCTGAAAGACCAGCCAGTGCTCTTAACCTCTGAGCCATCTCTCCAACCTTCCATCTTTCTCAGAAGAGAAAGGTGATAAGTCCGGAGAAGGAAACAAATTCCTAGAGCAGGCATGTTGGTCTACACCTGTAATCTAAGAATTTCAGGGGTCAGCTTGGGGGGGTTTTAGGGAGACACTGCCTCTGACAATGAGTAATAAGCCTGCATGACTCTTACTTGACATAAGCTAGGGTCATCTGGGAAGAAAGACCCTCAACTGAGAAAATTCCTCCATCACAGGAGCCTGTAGGCAAAGTGGTTTTCTTTTTTTTTTTTTTTTTTTTTCCGAGACAGGGTTTCTCTGTGGCTTTGGAGGCTGTCCTGGAACTAGCTCTTGTAGACCAGGCTGGCCTCGAACTCACAGAGATCCGCCTGCCTCTGCCTCCCGAGTGCTGGGATTAAAGGCGTGCGCCACCAACGCCCGGCCCAAAGTGGTTTTCTTGATTACTGATTGATGTGGATGGGCCCAGCCCACCACAGGCAGTGACAACTCAGCACTCTGTAAGAAATCCTGCTGAGAAAGGCAGTCAGCAGGGCTCCTCCATGGCCTCTGCCTCAGTTTCTCCCCCGATTTCCTTCCCTGACTTCCCCTCATAACGGACTACAATTATACGTTGAAATAAACCCTTTCCCCAACCAGTTGCTTTTGGTCATGGTGTTCCATCACAATAGAAAGCAAACAATGCCAGACAGTGGTGGCGCATGCCTTTAATCCTGGCACTCCGGAAGAAGCAGAGGCAGGTGGATCTCTTTGAGTTCCGGGACCAGCCTGGTCTACAGAGCCAGTTCCAGGACAGCCAGGGCTACTCAGAGAAACTGTGTCTAGAAAAACAAAAAAATAAAAATAAATAAAGCAAACAAGACAGAAGTTGGTGCTAGGCCTTGGGTATTTCTGTGACAGATCTGAACATATTATTCTGGGGGAGATTGGTAAGGATGTTGGAACACTGGGCTGGAAAAGTTATTAAAGTCTTAGAACTTAATGAACTTGTGGGAATTTGGAGGATAATGCTGTCAGCCATGCAGATGATGAAGGCCTGGCTTAATGGAGTTTCAGAGGGAATTTTGAGAATCTGTTAAAGACTCTGTTGGGGCTGTTTGTGAGACATATTTGAATTAAGAATCTGTAGCTTAGCCTGCTGGCAGTGGCGGTGGCAGCGGAGGGTGTCACTGCACACCTTTAATCCCAGCACTCCAGAGGCAGAGGCAACAGAGCAAGTTCCCAGACAGCCAGGAACAGAAAAAATAAAATAAAATAATAAAACAAAACAAAATGAGAATCTGTGGTTCTGGTCAGCTGGGGCTGCAGATTCAGCAGTGATTAACAAGAGACCAGAACCACTGTAGTGAAAGCTTAGCTCTGCTAGGACAATCCATGCTGGTTAGCTGGAGCCGAGAAACTAACAGTTACTAAGAAGAGACCAGCATTGCTATTATCATGCTTTGGTTTTTCAGGACAGGGTTTCTCTGTTTAACCCTGGCTGTCCTGGAACTGGCTCTGTAAACCAGGCTGGCCTTGAACTCACAGAGATCCACTTGCCTCTGCCTCTCGAGTGCTGGGATTCAAGACGTGTACCAGCATACCAGCCCAGCCCCAACTCCACACTCTTCTTTTTAAATATTTATTTATTTTTATGTGCATTGGTGTTTTGTCTGCATGTGTGTCTATGTGAAGGTATCAGATCTGAGAGTTACAAGACAGTTGTGAGCTGCCATGTGGGTGCTGGGAATTGTACCCCAGGTCCTCTGAAAGAACAACCAGTGCTCTTAACTGCTGAGCCATTTCTCCAGCCCCCAACTCCACAGTCTTTACTCACCAGTTTACATTGTTTTTTGAAACAGCATCTCTTATTGGCCTGGAGCTCACCAATTAGGCTAGGCTGATGACTAGTGATCCCCAGGGATCTGCCTATCTCTACTTTCCCAGCTCTGGATGTACAAGAAAGCTGGTTTTTGTTTATGTGTTTTATTGAGAGAGGGTCTCACAATGTAAACCAGGCTAACCTCAGTCTCACAGAGATTTGCCTGTCCCTACTTCCCCAGTGCTTAGATTAAGAGTAATGCTACCACATTGAACTGTACACCTGGCTCTTTAAAATAGGTCTTGGGAATGTAACTCAGGTCCCTGTGTTTTCAAGGCAGACAATTTGTGGAGTTATCTTTCTTCGTGTTTCTTGTTTGTTCATTTATTTTTTGAGATGGGTTTTTTTGTTTGTTTTAGTTTTTCCAGGCAGGATTTTTCTGTGTAACCCCGACTACCCTGGAACTCACTCTATAAACCAGGCTGGCCTTAAACTCATAAAGATCTGCCTGTCTCTGCCTCCCCAATACTGGGATTAAAGGCACCACCACCACCGCCCGACTTTTCTGTATGTTCTTGTTTTTCTTAAATGTTTTATAAAGTGTGTGTGTGTCCGCCCACAGAGGATGATCTCCCTGAAGATGGACTTATAGGTGGTTATTAAGTGCCTGACTTGAGAGATGGGGACTGAACTTGCAAATTTGGGTCCTCTGCAAGAGCAGTATGCCTTCTTAGCCACTGAGGCATCTCTCCAGACAACTTTTTGCTTTTGAGACCAGGTCTCATATAGCCCAGACTGGCTTCAAACTAACTGTAGCCAAGAATGATCTTGACCTCGTAATCCTCCTGCCTCTACCTCTTGAATGCTGGGACTAAAGATGTTATGTGCCACCATTAAACCCAGGACTTTGTTCAAACTGGGCAAGCACTCTGAAAACAGAGCTGGACTCCCAGCAAGCCCTTTCTTCTAGAGTCCCATTGGTCCTCTAGGAACCCTCAAAATGTCAGACATGATGAATTTCATTTTAATGGGAATAGGTGCAAAGGTCTGTTTTGTGGGCTGCTGCCCATGTTACATTAAGGTCTGTCTGTGCAGGACAAGATCAAGGAGGAAAAGGAAAGGAAGGGGCCATGTGCTGGAATATAGTCTTTTGGGCAACAAGTTTTCTTTTCTTTTTTAAATTACATTGATTTAGTGTATATAGTATGTAACATCTTTCTGTGTCTATGGGATGTGTGTGGTGTTTCTGTGTCTGACGTGTGTGTGTGTATGATATTTCTGTGTCTAGAGAGAGAGAGTGTGTGTGTGTGTGTGTGTATGGTATTTCTGTGTCTAGAGAGAGTGTGTGTGTGTGTGTGTGTGTGTGTATTTCCGTGTCTGGAGTGTGTGTGCACACATCTGTGTCTGTGGTGTGTGTGTGTGTCTAGTATATGTCTCTGTGGTGTGTGTGCGTGCATGCATGCATGTGTGCATGAGAGAGAGAGAGATAGAACGCACTTTTAACAAACATCAGCTTTTACTGAGCTCCAGCGGTGTCATCTAATAGGGCCAGTGCAGCAGGCTGCCCTCAAGGGCCAGTCTATGGCATGATGGGAGATGCAGACGTGCACATATCCAGGATGCCCTTTAGTGCTCACTCGGGTGGCCTAGGCAGAAGCAAACGCCAGGATTCTCTGGCAACAACAGGCCAGTGCAGTCATTCAGCCTCTCCTCCAGGCCTGGCTGGTTCAGTCCCCAGTCCCTAAGGCAGTGCTTGCTTCCTAGGCCTATGGTTTACCACTGTCCCCATCGCTCGTTGGAAGAAAGATGACCAGCAGCACAATCAGGATGATGAGCAGGCTACCAGCCACTGCCAGCCCCAAGTAGATGCGGCACCGAATATTCTCCCAGCGCTTCTTCTGGGCCAGAGTCTTGGTTGTCTTGCTGAAGGCTAAACTCTGTGGACACCCAGAGATACCGAGAGAAAGAGTTAATGGTCCCACAGCCAGCTCTCCATCCCTATCCTGTCTGCTGCCTCTCCGCTCACTGTACTCTCCGACCCTTCCAGCCTGGCTCCTGACCTCAAACACTACTGTAACACTTGACTCTCAACACCCACTTAGCCCATGACCGCTGGGGATGCACAGAGCTCCAAAGACTTCTTAGGTTTATTTGTTTGTTTTGTTTGTGAGATGGGGTCTCATAGAGCTCCTGCCGGGACTTACTGTGCGACCAAGAATGAGCTTCTGATGCTCTGGATTCCCTGAGTGCTAGCACTGCAGGTGGACCATCGATGTTTCCTGCTGTGGTGGGGCGTGAACCCAGGGCCATGCGCACTAGGTAAGCATTCTATCAGCTGAGCTACAGCCCCAACCCTAGTGTATCTTTGTGAAATCTACCAGTAGGAAACCAGAAGTCCCACACTGGTAAGCAGGCAGGCCCCAGGCCCCACCTTCAACCTCTCCACCAAAGCCTGAGAGCTCCCTCTAAGGTTAAACTTGTCCAGTCCCTCCACGTCCCCGGTGGCCACGCACCATGTTCAGGAGCTGGTCTGAGCGCTGCTCCAGCTCAAGCAGCTTGCCGTCACGCTCCAAGACCTTGTCGAAATTGTTGCGCATGATTTCCGTCACTTCGTCCGCCTGCTGCTGGCATAGTTCCAATTCTTGCCCTGCCTGAGCACCAAGCCCAAGGTCAAGGATGCAAGAGTCCCCCACCCAGCCTTCCTATACTCCCTGCTCCCCTACCATGTCTGGGTATGGCAGATGAGTCAGAGCATCCTTTGTGTGTAAACCCATGAGCTATTCGGGTTGAAGGGCTGCCTTCTGAGCAGCTGACCTCCAGGCTCCTTGTCCATCGGCTCTGGATTTCAGCATCTCAGCTTCTTCTGTGTTACCTCAAACTGGGAGCTTCCTGGATCTCCACCCTCCCACAAATCATACGCTTTGCTCACCTGCTCCAAGATGGCGTCTATCCAGTGTCCTATGGCTTCCCACTGACTCCAAAAAAGTGGCAAAGAGCAGGGAGCCAGGCAAGAAAAAAAAATCCACTCTGCAGGACTAGAAAGGTCATTTAAGACTAGGTCACATCAGCATCTCTGCCTAGAACCCCACCCCTCCCAAACTGAGCAGCTCATTTCTTCCTCTTTGGACCTCTGACCAGTCAGGCCAGTTCTGCCTCTGAGCTAACCTGCTCTCCACCTCAGTGACTACCTTCTATTTCCTCTCCTTCTGGGAACCTGAGACCCTCTGGCCTTTGGCCTCCAGCCTTTTGGTCAGCCAGGGCTTCACTGAGTTCCACAGTTTTCAATGGGTTACAGTCTTTGACTTCTGAGCCTGGGCAGCACAGCTTCACCTAACCAAGAAACCCATTTTGTTTTGGAGGATTGGGATGAGAAGGACACAAGTTTCAATCTGGGGGGATACGAAAGGGAAAGGGGGAGGGTAAGAGAGCGGGGGATAAAAGCCTTGCTGTCTCTAGACGCCATGTGCTGAGATCATGGGCAGGTCTCTTCAGGAAGGCAAATGCCAGAGGATTAGCAAACCACCAATTCCCTCCCCTCAGCCTCGTCCTTCCCAGCCCATCCCTATTCCATCTCCTTTTCACAGTGTCAGCCTCTTCCGGCCAGCCCATGCCTCCCATTGTTCACTGCAGACATTTTGGCACTTGACTGAATTCCACTTAGAAGCAGAGAATGAGTGTTGGGAGAGACCTGGGAGTCACAGAGGAAAACCTCCTCCACAGGCAAGAATCCTCATCCAGGATCATCACGGTCGCCCGAACAGAGCCTCAGGGCGTTCCCAGGGCATGAGTCTTCTCTCCACAGCTAGATCACAAGCTCCCAGAGGGAGGGCAGGGGACAGCACCCTCCTCCAGCATCCAGAAGCCTGGGAGGCCAGGCGAGGCTGATCAGGGCAAGGACCCAGTAAAGGGGTCGGTTGCTTGATTGCCTATCCAAAAGGAACTCAATCTCAAGAGAGGTTCTCCTGGTTTGCTTATCTAGCCCAGCAGGAGTTTCGGGGGACAGGCATCTGAAACCCAAACAGGTCAATATTTACCCAAGAGCTAGAAAAACAGCTTGTTTTTTTAGAGTGGGGCCGGTAAACCAAGGAGGTAGTAGGTGCTCAGAGGCGGGGATACAGGGCCTCGGTGAAGAGAACAGGGAACTCATGCTTCCTCCCATTCCTGAGTCACTTGTCATGTTGGGCAAGGCTCCATTGTTTGAACTTCCCCACATCCCAGCACTCCAAAACACAGATTTGGGCACAGACAAAGATAAATGAGAATCACCACTGGAGGTTGGTGGAATGCTGGGGTATTTTTGTTTTTATTATTGTAGGGGGACACCGATGTGGGGGTCAGAAGACAACTTGCCCACTTTCCCGTGGATTCTGGGGATTGGAGTCATGTCAGCAGGCTTGTGTGGAAAGTGATTTACCCGCTAAGCCATCTCAGGGCATCTGTCCGTCCGTCTGTCCGTCCGTCCGTCCGTCTGTCTTTCCGTCCCTTCCCCACTGTGCAGCGTATGAGTGTGCTGTGAGTGATTTTGCTAATGCACCCAGGGGCCAGAGGCTGATGCCAGGGTCCTGTTCTATCTGCTCCCTTGAGAGTTGGTCTCTCACTGAACCTGGAAGAGTCTGGCAGCCAGAAAGTCCTACCAATTCTCAGGCTTCAGTGACAAATGTTGGTAGCCACTGAGCCACTGCCCGAGCATCTTCCCCCAGGATTTATCTCTTCTTGTAGCTCTTCCTTTTCTTTTTGACAAGGTCTTGCATAGCCCAGGTTGGCCTCCAGCACACTGTACAGCCAAAAACGACCTTGTGCTTCTGCTCCTGTTAGCCTTACTTCCCAGCACTTAGTAGTATGGGTGTGCTCTACCATGCCCAGTCTATGTGGTGCCGGTGATGAAAGCCCAGGGCTTCGTTCGTGCCCACTCATTCACTCCACCTACTGAACTACGAATCCAGCTCTGCTCTTCCGTCCTGGATGCTACAGCTGCTGTTACCTTATTCCCACACAGGGGTAACACGGCTCATATTCTATGGAGAGCTGGCTGTGCCTCCAGCTACAGTCTGGAGCCTTTCCCCGCTACAGCGAAGTCAGGCCTATTGCCTATTGGGAGCCAAGATGGGCTCCAGGCTTAAAAGAACATATGTTCCAGGGAACACGACCACCAAGTCCCTACCCACTTTGGCCTCTAACTATGTGCACAGGTCTCTGCTGGCCGCACGAAAGATAAATTGCTAGGGAAAGTGTCAGGGAAGAACTGAGAAAACAGAGGGCAAGGGCCATGCTACCCTGTGCCACCTGGAACTCAGCCAAGGGCCGGGAAGCTGGCAGACACATGACAGATACTTTCTGAATGAACTGTACCTGCTTTCAGGGAGCTCCCCCTCCAGCTCCGGCTGAGGAAAAGAAACATGTGATACCATCAAGGGATAGACAAGCCTTTTGCACACTAAGACATAAGGTGCCCCAGCCTCCCATGGAATGAGTAGATTACATAGTCAGAATTGTAACCAAAAGGGCAGGTGTTGGGATGGAGCTGGGCTATTCCGGCGGAGATGGGGACACAGCCCTTTAGTGAAGGGACCTGGCAGAGGGTGGAGAGGCTGGGTGGGGCTAGAGAAAGCCGCAGAAGGGGTGGAAACTAGTGTGCAGGAAGTGATAGAGCACAACCAAGTCAGGTGTGGTGGCATGCGTAACTGGGGAAGTCTCCAGTCCCAGGTCAGCCTAGGCTACATAGTGAGATCTGTCTCAAAAGCAAGACAGAAGCATCACTTGTAATCCCAACATTCCAGAGGCAGAGGCAAGAGAACTGGAAGTTCAAGGCCACCCTTGTCCTGGACTACATGAGATCTCTTGAGGTGGAGGCTGGGGGAGCCTACACACACAGGCTGGGGAGGTGGTAAGAGTGCTTGCTGTGCATATATAGGCTCCTGAGTTTGTGCATATATAGGCTCCTGAGTTCGGATCCCAATCACCCATGTAAAAAAAACAGTTATGGCTGCACACCCCCAACACCCAGCTCTGCTAGAGAGCAGGGAGAGAAACATTGGTTTTACTGGCTGCCATTCTAGCTTCAGGTTTGGTGTGAGACCTTGTCTCAAGGGAATGTGACAGAGAGTGATAGAGCAGGATCTCCCTCTCTCTCTCTCTCTCTCTCTCTCTCTCTCTCTCTCTCTCTCTCTCTCACGCACGAGCACACACAGCCACACCAAGAACTTCAGACTTTCAGTCTCTCATGGATCTATTGGTGAGAACGCCCTACTTCCCCCGTTTTGTTTTACAGACCTGTGGCTGGCATGGAATTCAATATATATACCAACTAGGCTGTAAACTCACAGCTATCTGCCTGCCTCTGTCTGAGACCATGCCTCTTAAAAACGAGAAGAGGGGTGTGGTCAGGCATGTACCATAACCCCAGCACATGGGGGAGGGCAGAGCATGTGACGTGGTAGAGAAAGATTCCCAGAACATAGTAGCTCACAGCCATGTAAAAACGGTGTGTTCTGGTGAGCACCCACCTCATTGCTCAGGGCATGGGAGACAGAAGGACCCTATCTCAAAAGCAAGGCGTGCTGCCTCCTTTGCCTCAAATTCCATGTGCCTCTGCCACTCACCAGCTGATGGACCAACACTGAGGATACAACCTTTCTGATCAACCTCTTCCTCTTTTGTAAAGTGGTAATAACCATGTTTACCTCATAAACCTCATATTAACTCAGATTATGTGACATAAACACAAGCCTAAACAATACCTTACCAATACTAAATGCCAAATAAATAACATCAACTAGTATTAATGGAGACTAAATTTTCATCTTTTTCTTTTTATTAAAGACTTCTTTTTTTTTTTTTTTTTTTTTGGTTTTTCGAGACAGGGTTTCCCTGTGGCTTTGGAGGCTGTCCTGGAACTCGCTCGGTAGACCAGGCTGGTCTCGAACTCACAGTGATCCGCCTGCCTCTGCCTCCCGAGTGCTGGGATTAAAGGCGTGCGCCACCAACGCCCGGCTTATTAAAGACTTCTTTATTTTTATTTTTCAGTTTTTTAGTTTTTCGAGACAGGGTTTCTCTGTGGCTTTGGAACTAACTCTTGTAGACCAGGCTGGTCTCGAACTCACAGAGATCTGCCTGCCTCTGCCTCAGAAGTGCTGGGATTAAAGCTGTGCACCACCACCGCCCAGCACAATAAAATCTTTTAAAAATTGATTTATGGTGCTAGAGAGAGGGTTCCATACATCAAGCTCCTACTGCACTAGAATGAGAACCAGAGCTTGAATCCCGAGCACCCACACAAGATCCAAGCAGTTCCTTTGCTATCCTAGTGCTCAGGATGCAAAAACAGGGGCTCCCAAGGCCAAGCTGGTTAGCTAGACTAGACAAGCTGGTGAGCTCCAGGTTCAGCCGGAGACCCTGCCTCTGCAAATAAATCGGAGCGCTATTAAATAAGACACCTGACATCAACCTCGGACTTCCATGTGCTCCTGAACACGTATGTGCCCACACGCGTGAACAAGCATGCACAGAACACGTGTACACGTGCAGAAAATGATCGCTCACTTTCCATCTTCCCTGTCCCTGCTTTGTCCTGTGCTAGTGGCACGAAAGGACTACTGTGTCCTTTTTCACCCAATGAGTCACAGAGAAGGGGAGGGAGGGGAAAGGGGCGGGAGTAATTAGGTAGCCAGAGGGCTGGGTGTCAAGGGCTCTGAACCCCCTTTACCTGGAACGCACCTGTGAGCATCCCAAGGTTCTGTACAGTCAGGTAACTAACCCAGCTCACCTTCATTGCAGAACTTCTCCCCAGGAGCTGAGGGCCAGCTGGAAGCCCACCCCTACCTCCTCCCATCTCTTACCCTGCACTCTCGGAAGTGGGGAAGTGGGCTCTTAGCTCCAGCCCATTCTCAGAGCCTCCCTCAGTTTCCTGGTGTGGCCTCAAAGCTCAGGGCTACCTTCCTGTCCCACTTCCCTTTCCTGCCTCCAGTTCCCTAGAGATGAAGCCATCCATCCAGGCATTGCCATCTCCAGCCAGACCACATCCATGCAGCCTGGTCTGGTCTGTCTCCCCAGGAGCCCCAGGGGAGGGGGATCCTGGCATCAGAGGTCTCTGACACCTTTGCCTTGGAAATGACAGGTCTGTAGCTCAACCCAGGATCATGTCATCAGGTAGAGGTTAGGAAGGAGTCAGCCTGTGTCACACTGATAATTTCATGGAACTTTCATAGTAAACAACTTATTTTCTCTTTTCCCGGGGAAAGTGTTTATCTTTCAGCACCCAGCCTAGAGAGGCCTCCACCAGGCATCTACTCAGGTTTCCAACCCTGGGGCCAGCTCTGGCTCCTCTCAGCCCTCGGGGAAGAGCCCCTTCCCCCGCAGAGGTCACCTACTACTTCTTAGCAAAGGGTTCTGAGTGCCTGGCAGCAGCAACCATAAACATCTCCTTTAACCTCTCAAGGACCCACTAAGGCAGGTATTGCTGCCCCTACTTTATGGCACGGAAAAGGAAGCTCAAGGAGGTTAAGTGACTTGCCCGGGATTGCCTGGAGCTGGTAACTGCCATAGGAGCGTGGGAAGCGCAGCTCCGCTCTCTCTGCCCCGACGGGCGCATACTGAGTCTCCTTCCCCCGCTGCCTACAAAGTAGGGGTCTGGCCCATGCGACCAGCGGCGTGACCCGCACCCCTGGGGTTCGGGCTCCTACCTCACACCCCTGCACAATCGCCCTCTGCCCCTGCCCGTCTCACCATCGCCTCCGCGGCCACCGCCACCTCCTGCTCGCCGGCTCCGGCTCCTCTGCCCGGCGTGGCCTCAGTGCCCGCCGCCCTGGAGGAAGCCGAGGGGCGGGGCGGGCCACAGACCAAGGGGCGGAGGGGGGGGCGCCTTCTCTGAGAGGTGCCCGACCCGGGCAAACCGAAAGCAGCAACAGGGTCCGTGGGGCGCCTCCTGCCGGGCCACCAGCGTCTGATTTCCAATGACACCCCAGCCTGGTAAACTGGGGACCGATGTCTCTTGGATCTGGGACTGCAACAGGAGTTAGCGAGGGAGGCGTTATTCTGGCATGCATTCTGTCATGCGACAAACATCTGTGAGTGCTAAGTGCTCCAGATACCATGAACATGCCAGGATGGGTGCTTGACACCTTGGTGAGTGCATGTCACCCGAAATTGAAAACACATCAACCAAAGTTCTGATTGTTTTCAGACGGAGCAGGCAGCATTCTAAATACATTACATGTCACCAAGTTGTACACTTAAAGACAAATTGAGGTCTGGCGAGATGGCTCAGTGGATAAGGGCACTTGCTGCCAAATGTAATGATCAGAGTTCCATTCCTGGGACTCACAACTCCTGGGAGTTGTCCTTCTGACCTCCATACACTGGGAAGTGGGGATTTTTTTGTTTTTTTGATTTATTTATTAAGCATACAGTGTTCTGGCAGGCATGTCAGAAGAGGGTATGAGATCTGATTACAGGTGGTTGTAAGCCACCATGTGGTTGCTGGGAATTGAACTCAGGACCTCTGGAAGACTAGCCAGTGCTCTTAACCCCCAGAGCCATCTCTCCAACCCCCGGAGTGGGGAATTTTTTGTTTTGTTTTTCGAGACAGGGTTTCTCTGTATTGTTTTGGAGACTGTCCTGGAGCTCGCTCTGTAGACCAGGCTGGCCTCGAACTCAGAGATCCGACTGCCTCTGCCTCCTGAGTGCTGGGATTAAAGGCATGTGCCACCAACACCCGGCAGGGATTTTTTTAAATGCTAAAATTCTGCAGACATTCCTGTGGGCTAAAAGTCCCAGTGGTGTGTGGACGGATGAACCTCTAACGTTGCTGGGATGGACCCCAGCCTGAAATAAAAGGTGACAACAGCGGCCAGACCAAGTGTTGAACCGGCAAGAGGTAGAAGAGCCCGTCTCCAGAGCAGTACTCAAGCAGAGACCAACCTTCTCTTTCCTACAAGAATAAAATACAGACAAATGACACGGAATGGCCTGAAGGTCCCCACAGTGTGAGTTTAGGAGCCAGGGAAAAGAAACAGGGGTCGGCCAGCCCAAGAACACACAACTTCCGCTTAGATTCCTGATGCCAGCCACGTGGGACTTCTCCTGGGTGAGAAAGATTTTGAAGGAGAGTGAGGATGAGGATATTGCAACTTTTCTTGCATAACTGGGAAAAATTAAAGAAGAGCCAACGAGTAACCCTCTTCCTTAATCTCACTGGCCCACCCTGGCCTCAGGTGGAATTCAAGGTTAAAATGAGCTGTTTTTTAAGGACTGTGCAAAAGGTATGACCAAAAAGTCAAAAGATTTGTAAGTGATACACTGTACTCTGAATTACACACACACACACACACACACACACACACACACAAAACCCATGGACAAATATAGTAAGTATCACTGTTTTATGTGCTTAATCAAAGGCTAGAATGTGGGGCCAGAGAGCTAGCTGAGTAGTTAAAAGCACTGGCTCCTCCTCCAGAGGACCCAGATTGAATTCTCAGCACCCTCATTTCAGCTCACTACTGTCTATAACTCCAGTTCCAGGGGATCTAAAGCCTATTCTAGCCTCCAAGGGCACCAGTCACGAATGCGGTACATAGTCACACATTCAAGTGGTGCATCTCTCCATACAAAAGAAAAAATAATTTAAAGAAAAAGTAATTTTAAAAAAAATTCCTTATTTTACATCCTGACCTCAGTTTCCCCTCTTCTCTGTCCCCTCACCCCTCCCCCTCAATCCATTCCTCTTCTGTTTCTATTCAGAAAAGGGCAGGCCTCCCATAGATATCAACAAAGCATGGCATACCAAGTTGTAAGACTAAGCATCTCACCTTGTATTAAAGCTGGGCAAGGCAACCCATGATGTGGAATAGGATCCCAAAATCCAGTAAAGGAGTCAGAGACAGCCCTTGCTCCCACTTTTAGGAATCCCACAAGAAGATTAAGCTACCAAACTGTCACATATATGCAGAGGGCCTATGTCAGTCCCATGCAGACTCCCTGGTTGTTAGCTTAGTCGTTACGAACTATGAACCCAGGTTAGTTGTTTCTGTGAGGTTTTTTGTGATGTCCTTTGACCCCTCTGGCTTCTTCCTCCCTCCCTTCAGCAGGATTCCCAGAACTTGGCCTAATGTTTGGCTGTGGTTCTCTGCATCTGTTTCCATCAGTTGCCGGGTAAAGGCTGCCTGATGACAGTTGAGCTGGGCACCAATCTGAGGTTCAGGATGCTGGCCTGGCCTCTCGAAAAAGTAATTTTTTAAAAGACTGAAGTGTTAAGGAAAAAATTAAATTGTTAATTGTGACTGGGCATGTGCTTGCCTATCACGCTGCAAGCTTTGGGTTTGATCTCCCGCATTATGTAAACCAGATTTAGTGGAAGATGCCTGAAATCCCAGCACTGGGGAGCCAGTGACAGAAGGATCAAAAGTTCAAAGTCCTGGTCTGATATAGAGTGATTTTTTTATGTTGTTTTTGTTTGTTTTGGCTTTTTGAGACAGGGCTTCTCTGTGTAGCCCTGTCTGTCCTGGAACTCGCCCTGTAGACCAAGCTGGTCTCAGATTCAGAGATCTGCTCTGCCTCTGCCTCCTGAATGCTGAGGTTAAAGGTGTGCGCCACCACTGTCCAGCTACTTACTATATAGTGAATTTAAGACATAAGACCCTGTCTAAAAACAAAACAGGCAAACTGAGCTGGCACTGTGGCTTATGGCTGTGATCCTAATACTTAAGAGGATGAGGCAGTAGGATTGACTGACTTTGATATAAACCTGGGCTACATAGTAAATTCCAGAACAACCTACTCTAGACTACAAAGTGAGACTTGGTCTCCAAAAAAACAGTGTCCAGAATTGGTGGTGCACGCCTTTAATCCCAGCACTCCAGAGGCAGAGGCAGGCAGATCTCTGTGAGTTCGAGGCCAGCCTGGTCTGCAGAGCGAGTTCCAGCCTCCAAAACAATACAGAGAAACCCTGTCTCAAAAAACAAAAACAAAAGAAAAAACAAAAAAGTTTGCCATATGAATTTCACTCCAGTATAAAAAGAAGAAAGCAGCTACTCATGGGAAAGGCTCTCTGGCTTTTCTCTGCTCTAAACTCATCATGAGAACTTGTGGGCCTGTTCCTGTGTTGCAGGTGCTGGTGTAGTCTCCTGAGCGTCTGTGGAGAAATTACAAAACCCATCTTCCACCTTCCAGACTGCCCTTGACATCCCAAATGAAGCCCCTTAACCAAAGAGTCAGGGACTTTCTTTCCTGGGCTTGAACCGCTGTGAAGACAGAAGACTGGTCTGGACACAGCACCTCAGAACAGGCTCAGAGTCTGGACACAGCACCTCAGAACAGGCTCAGAGTCTGGACACAGCACCTCAGAACAGGCTCGGTGAGAGAGGGCAGGAGCAGTCATGGCAAAGCAGACCAAGAGGGGCTATCTGGTACTTTCCCTGCCCTGCCCGGAATCAGGAGCACGGTTCCAGAATCTGGCCTCTGGTTAGTCTCAAACATTTGTCTCTTAACCCTGCCCTTACCTCACATCCTCCCAGCAACAGGTTGTTTCTAATTCTGGAAAGGCTGTGGAGGAAACAGGGGCAGAGGTAGCCAAGAACCCTCCCCACAAACCGATGCAGGCAGGGCCCTGGAAAGAACAGTGGTGACAAAGAACCTGGTGGGGAGGAAGGCTCCAGAAGACAGAAAGCTCATTGTGCTTCAGGCCCTGTCCTGTGACATTGACTGTGACTAGCATGGGACTCTGGGGAAGGATGCCTGCCCCCACCCACTCAGAACACCAACAGCTGAGATCCAGGGCCTATAAAGACCCAGAAGAACAGGGGTGGACAAAAGACAAATAGAACACACAGAACGACCAACAAAGGGAAAGCTGACCATTACCAACAAAGGGAAAGCTGACCAGTTCCTTCTCCTTCTGGCTCTGAGTTATACCAAGGCCACAGAAGAGACATGGCAGAAGAGGCTCTTGAACCAGGTCCTAAATGACACAGCATATCTGCAAACACATCCAGGAGGATAGTTAAAGGACATGACAGGATCCAAGGGAGACACCGAATCCTGCATCCTACCCTAAAGTGCCATGGAGGTTTTAATTCTCCCTGTGGTAGGATTCCTAGGAAATCCTTCTTCCTGTGGCCTGCGACAAAGAACACAGTGCTCTGAAGGAAAACAGGAGGGACTGGGAGATAGCTCAGTAGGGAAAGTGCTTGCTGTGCAAGCACAGGGGCCTGAGTCAGGATTCCTGTACCCATGTAAAAGTTTGACACGTGATTCTGTAACCTCAGTACTGTGGAGACAGGTAGATCCCTGGAGCTCATTGGCCAGCCATCCTAGCCAAATTGATGAGCTCCAGGTTCCGTGAGTGATCCCGTCTCGAGATGTAACTCAGTGGTAGAGTGCTTATCTCGCACACATGATACCATAGGCTCAATCTCCAGTATGGTCAGGAAGAAAAACAGGCCACTAGACAGCAAGGTGGGAAGCAATGAAGACATCTGACATTGACCTTTGGCCTCCACACACATAGATACACTTGCATTCACCCATACAGATGTGCACATACACATGTATACAGGATGGAAGGGATGGAGGAAGATGGAGAGATGACTCTTTGGTTAAGAGTGCAAAGTGGCTGGGTGGTGGCGCACACCTTTAATCCCATCACTCGGGAGGCAGAGGCAGCCGGATCTCTGTGAGGTTAAGGTCAGCCTGGTCTACAGAGCGAGTTCCAGGACAGGCTCCAATGCTACACAGAGAAACCCTGTCTCAAAAAAACTAATAACAATAATAATAATAATAATAATAATTTTTTGCCTAAGGAGAAGGAAAAAAAGAGTGCTAACTGTTCTTGTAGATGACCCAAGTTTGGTTCCAAGCACTCATGTTGGGCAGCTCATAGCTGCCTGCAACTCCAATTCTAGGGGGATCAACATCCTCTTCTGACCTCTGGAAGCACCTGCATTCACATACCCACACTTTTTTTTTTTTTTTTTGGTTTTTCCAGACAGAGTTTCTCTGTGGCTTCAAGGCTGGTCTTGAACTCACAGAGATCCGCCTGCCTCTGCCTCCCGAGTGCTGGGAT